TAACCCTATCTAATTCTCATGAAGTTATATAAAGAATCAAAGACACAATCCAAACTTGCCCGCTAAGTTAACTTGGTCTCTAAGAAAATTACTAGGATTGTGCCGAGCCTTTAAACCCGAATCCGACTTGGAGTTTGAGTTGGTACCAACCATTCTGCTCGTTATAGAGATCCTCAAAATTCTTTGAAAAAGACTTTGCATTAGTTTCACCCGGTACATGATGAAGCATACTAACGTCGATCAACATACGAATATGTCACACCCCGCTTCCCAAAATACCGGGGAATCAAAACGTGAACAAGCCCGCGACGTATTAGATTGAGAAGAAATATATATACTATCATTTTTTCTTCTTTTCTTCTCAATCCAATACGCTAAGCGTTAAATATATAAATCTCAGTCATAGGTCCCCGATCACAATAGTAAGAATATAAAGACAACTCAGAGTAAGAAATAAACATATCTTCAACAGATCATCCCAGACATAAAATATGGGTTCAACATACCCTTACTACAACAACAATCCAACTAGAAAATAAGAAATACATAGTCCATAATAAAAGGAAATACTAACAAAATAACCAAATCTGTCATACATAGTCCATAATAAAAGGAAATACTAACAAAATAACCAAATCTGTCACCAACTAAAGAAAAATACTATAAGAGTGTTCTTATAAAAGGAAATACTAACAAAATAACCAAATCTGTCACCAACTAAAGAAAAATACTATAAGAGTGTTCTTTCAGTTACTACAGAAAGAAAAGCACATCTAGGCTTCAGTTTGTTCTTCTACTCCATCGGAAGGACATTCTGGCTGGGCATACACTGGCTCGGCTGCATCATCGAACTGAACCTATTCGTCTCCTAAGTCTAACACACACAAGAAAAAACAGGTGTACGTCAGTGTGTATGGCACACGGCAAGTTCCCACATGAGCAAATAAAATGGTCTAATGACCCATGCTATTATAATAATGATACTAACATAAAAGACAACGATACATGCAACTGAAATCTAATAGTAACATACAACTATGTGAATACAATAACTGGGTCGAATACTAACCAACCTAAAACTCAGGGGCCCACATCTCACACAGAGTCAACGTTCCTATCATCGGATAACTGGCTATTCGCAAATCCCCTACGTGCATCCAATACCGCTACACGAATCGGTCAAAGGACTACACGCAATCCGATTTCGGCCTGGTCCGAACTTAAGTAGAACTCGGGTGACTACACAAATTCACTGACTAAAGTGACTACACGAATTCACTTTAGCCCAACAAACCAACCCCAGTGATTACACGAATTCACTGGCACGAGCCTGGAAGATACATCAACAGTCTTATCCGATCACATGAACACTAACTTCCCCATCCCAACTCTCTTGTATTTTCTAGTTAACCATAATCCTCATTGAAAACTCGGGTTCACCGCCTAAACCATGCAACACACTCACACATGTCACTAGGTCTGTTCATGACGCACGAGGCCACTAAGTCATGAACTACTAAGGTTCTCAACACATCCACAGATCATGAATATAGTATGGCATGTTAAATATGATTAAGCAGGCATATGAAGCAGAAATGAGAATTATAATAAACATGAAATGTATAAACAATTACTACAACATGAATACATACAAAAAGGACTTCATCACTACCGGACTATCCAAACTCCTCACACAAAATATCTGTACTTACGTATTTTCTAGAATAATAATATGGTAGGAAGGAAACTAGAAATCGATGTCGTTTTTCACATGAAACGTCGCGCTCTACGACGATCAGTCATACTATCTTAAGTAATAATATTCCTTTTCCAAAATTATTCTTTAAAACTATTTTTTCGTCGTAACTAATTAAAATAAAAATATTCATATAATAAAATATATTAATTTCTCCCTGCATGAAAAGTAATATTTTTCTATTATATAAATTTCCCTTAATTAATTCCTTTTCGATAAAAATTTCATAAATTCTATTTTAACACATAACTTGTCAATTCATGTTCATATTTTCTTAATGATACGTATAACAACATTATTAATTTAAATTTTTATCGTGCGCTCGCAATCATCATACCACGTAGATATTCACAAATGTATATTAACCACAATAATAATTTAACTATATGCAATCATCATACTAACAATAATATTAACCATTAATTAACAACAAGGGTAAATGCGAGATCTTGCCTCAGTGTATTTGTCGAACGAATTGACGTCGTCGATGGGAAGAGGACTATCGAGGACTGCAGCGACGGTTGGCTGCTGTCGGACGACTGGAAAAGAAGATGGGGAGGTTGGTGGCTCGGTGCGCGGGATGAGGTCGACGGAGTGGGGTGGATGGTGGTCAGCAAGGAGGTGCTGGAGGTTGAAGGCGGTTGAGGGGCTGTTGTCGAGGGGGTTGGTGGCGGAGGAGAGCGTGGTCGAAGAGAGGAGGGGCGAAGTGGTTGGAGGCGGCGGAGGCGAAGCTCAGGGTGGCGGAGCTGAAGGCGGTGACAGGGGGAAGGCGGAGCTCGGGCGGAGTTCTGGAATGTGGGGAGCTCGGTCGGAGGTGTAGGGGGCGGTGAGCTCAGTGGTCGGAGGGCGGTTGAAGGCATGTGAAAAACGAGGTAGGGAGAGAGAAAATGGAATGAAAGAGAGAGAGAAAGAATTTGAGGGAGATTATATTAATGAGAGAGAGAGTAGATTATTTAATGAAGTAGTTGTGGATGACGTGAGTGTACGTGGGGTAGTTATTTTTGGGGTGATGGGTTGTTGAGGAAACTTGGGGGTATTATTTTCAGGGGAGTGTAGAGAGAGGGGGCAATATACTATTTAATATTATTATTATTTAAAACAAAAATGCATCATAAAATTATTAAAATTTATAAATATTCAATTAAAAAGTAATTTAATTTGTATTTTTCCAAATTAATATAAAACCTGATTTTTAAATCATTAAAAAGTCTAGAAGATCAATTAAAATATAAATATTCTCTTTAATAATAAAATTTAATATTTAATTACCAGGAAAATTATTTAAATCAGTATCGAAATTTTATGGTCATTATATTCTACCCCCCTTAAAAAAAATTCCGTCTCGGAATTAAATAAAAGGACGAAATATAAAAATGGATTCACTTCAATTCATTTAAAGTTCAAAATATTTCGCACATCCATAAATAAGGAAGGTCATACAAGGCGATTCAAATAAGATACAAGACATGACAGCTAAGATTTAGGAAATAAATGAGGGTATCGCTGTCGCATCTCGGTCTCAGTTTCCCAAGTCGACTCTCCAGGAGAATCTGGGTGCCACATCACACGAACAAGCAAAACGGTCTTATTTCGGAGGGTCTTCTCCTTTCGGCCTAAAATCGCCATAGGCTGCTGCTTGTATGTCAAATCGGATCGCACCTCAATCTCTGAGAAATCTACGACATTGCTCAGATCTCCAACGTATTTTCGCAACTGAGAAATTCTCGCTCGCCAACATCGTCCTAACTCAGCGGGGAACGGCACTTCCTGCCATACAATGCTGCAAAAGGGGCCATTCCAATACTAGCCTGGAAGCTATTGCTGTATGTAAACTCCACCAAATACAAGTGATCTTCCCACGACCCGTGGAAGTCAAGCATACAAGCTCTAAGCATATCCTCCAAAATCTGAATGGTCCTCTCTGACTGCCCATCGGTCTGGGGATGATAAGCTATGCTGAAACTGAGACTGGTCCCAAGACTCCCCTGCAAACTCTTCCAGAATTCTAAGGTAAATCGGGTATCGCGATCCGAAACGATGCACACTGGAACTCGGTGCAATCGTATGATCTCCTGCAATACGAGAGATTTACTAACACTCTTGGAAAAAACAACTCATTGAAATATATAGAGATAAATATTTTACCTCCATGTATCTCTGAGCAAGATGCTCCGTCGACTGTCCCACTCGGAAAGGAATGAAGTGAGCTGATTTGGTTAATTGATCTATGATCACCCAAACAACGTCATTTTGCTTAGTGCTCTGAGGTAAGCCAGTAACGAAGTCCATGGTGACATGCTGCCACTTCCACTCTGGAATAGGCAATGGCTGTAAAAGAACTGTGATGCGCTGATGCTCTACCTTCACCTGTTGACATACAAGGCACTTAGCCACACTACGAGCCACATCCCTCTTCATACCATGCCACCAATAATTCAGCTTCAGATCCTTATACATCTTCGTACCTCCAGGGTGAATAGAATACGGAGAGCTGTGAGCTTCCCATAATAACTCCTCCTGGTACACATATACGACTCCCAAATCGTAAGGATCCGTCCTCATGAACAACAAATTCCGGTCGAAGATTAGCCACTGCTAGCTCTCTACACTTCTGAAGAAATGGGTCACCTGCTTGTGCTGCCTTGATTCGTTCGATCAGTGTCGATTGAATCTGGAGATTCATCAAAGAAGCGGTGACTCCTAGAAGAAGAAATTCTATACTCATATCTCTCACTTCCTGCTAAAGTCTCCACTGCGCCGTGAGGGTCATGATTGTTGGCAAACGACTCAAAGCATCTGGTACCACATTGACTTTGCCAGGGTGATACTGAAGATTAATGTTGTAATCTGCCATCAGTTCTAACCATCGACGTTGCCTCATATTGAGCTCCTTCTGAGTAAATATGTACTTCAAGCTCCTATGATCGGTGAACACCTTCACTTGATCTCCCAACAAATAATGCCTCCAAAGCTTAAGAGAAAAAATCACAGCTGCCAACTCTAAGTCGTGGGTAGGATAATTCTGCTCATGCTTCTTCAATTGATGGGAAGCATATGCTACCACATGACCATTCTGCTAAAGAACGCATCCCAATCCTCTACCTGATGCGTCCCAAAATACCTCAAAGTTCCCATTCTTATCTGGTATCGTCAAGACCAGGGCCGAAATCAGTCGAGACTTTAACTCCTCGAACACCTGCTCGCAAGCGTTGGACCAGACAAACTTAATATCCTTCCTCGTAAGTCATGTCATTTGCTCCGCAATCTTCAAAAAATCTCTGATGAAATGACGGTAGTAACCAGCTAATCCCAGGAAGCTCTTAATTTTTGACACCGACTTAGGGGTAGGCCAATCCTTCACTACTGATACCTTCTCCGGATCCTTTGATATGCCGTCTCCTAACACCACGTATCCCAGAAACGCTATACGATCTAGCCAGAACTGGCACTTACTATACTTGGCAAATAGTCGATGCTCTCTCAAGGTCTTCAGCACGTCCCACAAATGCTCTACATGCTCTACTTCACTCTTAGAGTAAACCAAGATGTCATCAATAAAGACCTCCACAAACTTGTCCAATACATCATAGAATACTAAATTCATCAGGTTCATGAATGTCGCCAGCGCATTAGTCACACCAAACGGCATCACTAAGAATTCATAATGTCCATATCTCATCCAGAATACAGTCTTGGAGACATCAGAATCCTTAACCTTCACCTGGTGATACCCACTCCACAAATCCAGCTTAGAAAATACTATCGATCCTCCCAACTAATCAAAAATATCATCGATACGGGGAACTGGATACTTATTCTTCACTATCACCGCATTCAACTCTCGGTAGTCGATGCACATCCGCTTGGATCCATCCTTTTTACCTACAAGCAACACAGGTGCTCCCCAGGCCGATACACTGGGTCGTATCAAGCCTCTCTACAAAAGATCATCCAACTAAGTCCGAAGCTCGGCCTGAAGGAAGTTCGTGCTAAATACATGCAAAATAAGCAACAGAATACTGTATATATAATTATACTAAGCATGTAGAGAGCATGAAATACATAATAGGACCATCCTAATTAAATCTAACATAATCCCTATATTAAAGAGAGCATACAAGAGTTAGAAAGTCATACTTTCGAAGCGTAATTCGATGGAAGATCGAATAACCTCTAGCTCTTGCTCCTTGTAGTAGAAAATCTCATCGTAGTGGATCTCTAAGTCTTCAAGTGGGCTTGATAAAATCAGAGTCTTTTTGAGACACAAGGCAAGATATCCACCCCGGGGTACTTTAAAATCCTACTACTTCCTCTTACTTAAAGATTGCTAGAGTTTAGTAAGAGGAGAGCTCTCTTTTATTCTCTTATGGAAAAAAAACCACTTAGCCAATTTTTCATTAACCTTTTTATAAGAAAGTGAACTCATATATATAGAGTGAAATATGTCATGACTCATCTCATGAGTCATGCCATGAGTCATCAAAACAATGATTCTCTCATGAGTCATACAATGACTTATCTCATGAGTCATGCAATGAATCATGAAGAATCAAAAACTATGTGCTAAAACCATGTTCCCAAATCATACCACCTTAATGACTCATTAATCAAGGTATAATGAAGTGCGTATTTCATAAATGAAAATACAACATCAATACGGTATTTCATAATTTTCCAATCATTAATTAATAAGTCATCATATGACCAAAAAGTCAATGAGTTGACCAAAATTCAACTGTTGACCAAAAAGTCAACAATTGACTAAAAGTTAACTTTATGGGAAAAATACTAGAATTCATTTCTTAAGCACATAGCATTCTGATTTTACTGATACATATAACCGTTTATGTGTATTTGGTGGAAATCATATATGTGTATCAATCATACACATTACTCTATAAATTTATATTTCATAGGATTCAAGTACGCGCTTGGTGTGACTCTAGGGCCCAACTTTAAGACTCGGCAGTGGATCATATCCATAAGTACAACAGAGGTGCTAGGTACACATGAAGACTACCCGAGTATAAGTTATGATAAATATCTGCAAGATGCTTACATAGTTTTATCAGGACCACTTAGTGATAATGCCGTACAGTTCGGTCTCTTCGTTAAATCATGTCAAACTTTTAAGTCTAGGGTATGGAAAACTGTCAAACCCTAATTGCTCAATTAGTGTTTGTTGATATTAAACTCATAACTTATAAGATCAAACTGACAATCAGTTTATCTTATTTACCTCGACTAAGGATTTTCAGGTTATAGTTATATCAAAAAATCTTATGACATCAACCCCCTATACTGGGAGAGACGAATCCTATCTTGGCATCTGAATATTTACTTATGCCTCGGGATGTACCCAACAAGAACAGTTATGCACAACTCGATGAGAACTGTGGTTAGGTAAAAGTCTAAGTACACCTATACTGACATGTAAGATATTACACTCATGCCTCAGGTCATGAGATTACTATGTACTATATCACTTGAAAACTTCTATTTGACAATTAAGTATAATTACCAACTAGATGTTCTCGATGAGTCGTTCAGTCAACTCATTCAGTAATGAGTTATCTGTATACTGTATCTTGATGTCTTACATCAATAATCTAAGAGATGGATCATCGTCCTTCCAAAGGAGAAATAGAGTATACACTAGTCTTACCAAAGTGATGATGTCCCATTTCAACACTTCATCGACTAGGAACATTTTAGAATATACGTTAGCGAAAAATCAGATCTCTTCATTACGATCATATCCGAAATGTCTGATAGTCTAGTATCATTCTAAGGACTTTATCTGTATTAAAATACCAGATAAATCTGACCAAAATAGCATACTATTATTTTAAACAATGATGTTATATTCAAATAGGTCCTGTTACAATATATAATTATTGCCTGCAGGGCACCTATATCCAACACGGCCAACTCGGTCGGGGGCATAAGATAAGGAGTCTTAGAGATCAGAGCAACTCCAGGCCTCAAATCTATGGAAAACTCAATTTCCCGATCCGGTGGCAATCTATAAATATCGTCGGGAAACACATCATCAAATTCCCGAACTACAATTGGCTTCTCGGATTCCACTTGCATCGCAGCTAGCGTCGCCTTCTTCGGTCTAGCTCTGTACTCTACAGGTCCGTCCGATGTGCTGCCACTGGTGAACTCGAATCTCTGGTGATCCGGTATCTCAAATACTACGCTCCGACAGCGACAATCAATGGTGGCGAAGAATGACCCCAACCAATCCATCCCAAATACTGCATCGAAGCTCGGCAAATCAATCACCAGAAAGTCTGCGAAGAGTTTCCTCCCGCAGATGACTACAGGGCATGCTTCATAACCACTAGATGATACTAAGATACCACTGCCCGTGTTGATATTCCAGCCTATAGTTAGAGAAGCTATAGGAAGAGAGTGGGCACTCGTAAAGCGACGAGACAAGAAATAATGGAAGGCTCCAGAATCAAAGAGTGATAAAGCAGGAACGGAAGAAACAAGAACATTGCCTATTATAGGAGGATGTAAATACAACTAACTTAGTATTCTTAAACAATCCTATCATAATATCATTATGTAATAAAAAGTTCATATGCAATTAAGACTAAGATAAACAATTCTTACCAGTGATAACTTGATCATTCGCCTCAGCTTCTACGGCTGACATCATGAACATCTGTCGCTGAGGTTGCTGCATGTGTGTTTCCTGGTAAAGCTACTGCTGTGGAGGAAGAGGCCCTGCTCGAGGATAGGGTCTGTACTGAGGCTGTGCTATCGGGACTGGTCGAGGTGGAGCTGGGAGAGCTGCCTAAACGGGAGGTGGGGGCAAACGAGCCTGCTATTTCTGAGGATAGTCTCGGCTGATATGACCAGGGGACTCACAGCTGAAGCATAGATGAAGATGTCTGGGGCAATCCTGCTGAGTATGACCAGGATAGCTACAATAGGAACATCTCACCAAAGACTGGTTCTGAGACTGTACTCCAGGACGCTGATAAGGGTGAGCCTGATGAAATGACTGACGCTGAGAATGCTGCTACCTCTGTGGGTTCTGCTGCTGCTGTCTCGGAGGGGGACGCTCGACGTTCCGGATCAGAGCTGTTGGTGTCTTGCTCTGAATCAAGTGTGAATCTTCTGGTTCTTTCTTCACGCTCTCAATCTCACGTGCTGCATCCAATACGGCGTCGTGAGTCGCGAGAGCCCTACTAGCCAAAGCTAATCTGATATACTTGTCCAGACCTTTCTGGAACTGGTGCCTCCTGATAGTAGGGTCTGTGACCAAGTGGGGAGCATATCAGCTCAAAGAAGAAAACTCGGCCTCGTACTCGTCGACTGATCGACCCCCCTGCTTGAGCTCGACAAATCTACGCAGGAGCTCATCTCGGGCGAACTGAGGAAAATACTTCCTATTGAAGCGATCCGTGAATGTCTCCCACAGATCTGGCCTCTCTAGGTGTGTCTTCTCAGCAGCCCACCAGATTCTAGCTGTATTCGTGAGCTGAACATCCATGAGGTCTACCCACTCTACAGGGGGAATACGAGTCACCGGTAGGATAGTCTTCGTGACCTTGAGGAACTCCTCTGCTGCTAAAGGTCCCTCGGCACCAGAGAAAGAAGGAGGCCACATATAGCGAAACTCTCTAACACCAGACTCCGAGCGAGGGGGGTGCTGGTGCTGAGGCTCCTGCTGTAAATGCCCAGCTAAGAACTACTGGTTCGTCACCAGCCCATGAATCATCGCTAAAAGCTGCTGCGGATCTGCTTCAGGCATCTAACCACTACTATTCGATGGGTTACCATTACTATGAGTACCCACCATAGTTCTGAAGAAAACGAGGATCAAAAGGAAAACTAGGGTTAAAATCAAACAATATATTTGGAAAATAGTAACTAAAAAATAGTTATTAAGATAATAGTATAAGAACTTAATTGTAATCGTATCCAAATCGTCCATTATATTCTCACTAATAGGAATCGAGACCGGGACATGCATGAGCCACCACTAAAATATATCACGCCCCGCTTCCCAAAATACTGGGGAATCGGAACGTGAACAAGCCCGCGACGTATTAAATTGAGAAGAAATATATATACTATTATTTTTTCTTCTTTTCTTCTCAATCTAATACGCTAAGCGTCAAATATATAAATCTCAGTCACAGGTCCCCGATCACAATAGTAAGAATATAAAGATAACCTAGAGTAAGAAATAAACATATCTTCAACAGATCATCCCAGACATAAAATATGGGTTCAACATACCCTTACTATAACAACAGTCCAACTAGAAAATAAGAAATACATAGTCCATAATAAAAGGAAATACTAACAAAATAACCAAATCTGTCATACATAGTCCATAATAAAAGGAAATACTAACAAAATAACCAAATCTGTCACCAACTAAAGAAAAATACTATAAGAGTGTTCTACCAAATCTGTCACCAACTAAAGAAAAATACTATAAGAGTGTTCTATCAGTTACTACAGAAAGAAAAGCATATCTAGGCTTCAATTTGTTCTTCCACTCCATCGGAAGGACATTTTGGCTGGGCATACACTGGCTCGGCCGCATCATCGAACTGAACTTTTTCGTCTCCTAAGTCTGACGCACACCAAAGAAAACAAGTGTACGTCAGCGTGTATGACACACGACAAGATCCCACATGAACAAATAAAACGGTCTAATGACCCATGCTATTATAATAATGATACTAGCATGAAAGACAACGATACATGCAACTAAAATCTAATAGTAACATACAGCTATGTGAATACAGTAACTGGGTCGAATACTAACCAACCTAAAACTCAGCGGTCCACATCTCACACAGAGTCAACGTTCCTATCATTAGATAACTGGCTGTTCACAAATCTCCTACGTGCATCCAATACCGCTACACGAATCGGTCAGAGGACAACACGCAATCCGATTTCGGCCTGGTCCAAACTCAAGCAGAACTCGGGTGACTACACAAATTCACTGACAAATTCACTGACTAAAGTGACTACACGAATTCATTTTAGCCCAACAAACCAACCCCAGTGACTACACGAATTCACTGGCACGAGCCTGGAAGATAAATCAGCAGTCTTATACAATCACATGAACACTGACTTTCCCATCCTAACTCTCTTGTATTTTCTAGTTAACAATAATCCTCATTGGAAACTCAGGTTCACCGCCTAAACCATGCATCACACTCACACATGTCACTAGATCTGTTCATGACGCACGAGGCCACTAAGTCACGAACTACTAAGGTTCTCAACACATCCACAAATCATGAATACAGTATGGCATGTTAAATATGATTAAGCAGGCATATGAAGCAGAAATGAGAACTATAATAAACATGAAATGTATAAACAATTACTACAACATGAATACATACAAAAAGGACTTCATCACTACTGGAATATCGAAACTCCTCACACAAAATATCCGTACTTCAGTATTTTCTATAATAATAATACGGTAGGAAGGAAACTAGGAATCGATGTCGTTTTGCACATGAAAAGTCACGCTCTACGGCGATCAGTCATACTATCATAAGTAATAATATTCCTTTTCCAAAATTATTCTTTAAAACTATTTTTCGTCGTAACTAATTAAAATAAAAATATTCATATAATAAAATATATTAATTTCTCCCTGCATGAAAAGTAATATTTTTCTATTTTATAAATTTCCCTTAATTAATTCCTTTTCGATAAAAATTTCGTAAATTCTATTTTAACACATAACTTGTCAATTCATGTTCGTATTTTCTTAATGATACGAATAACAACATTATTAATTTAAATTTTTACCGTGCGCTCGCATTCATCATACCACGCAGATATTCACAAATATATATTAAGCACAATAATAATTTAACTATATGCAATCATCATACTAACAACAATGTTAACCATTAATTAACAACAAGGGTAAATGTGAGATCTTGCCTCGGTGTATTTGTTGAACGAATCGACGTCGACGATGGGAAGAGGACTGTCGAGGACTACAGCGACGGTTGGCTGCTGTCGGACGACTGGAAAAGAAGATGGGGAGGTTGGAGGCTCAGTGTGTGGGATGAGGTCGAAGGAGTGGGGTGGATGGTGGTCGGCAAGGAGGTGCTGGAGGTTGAAGGCGGTTGAGGGGGTTTTGTCGAGGGGGTTGGTAGCGGAGGAGAGCGTGGTCAAAGAGAGGAGGGGCGAAGTGGCTGGATGCGGCACGGCAAGCTCAGGGTTGGCGGAGCTGAAGGCGGTGACATGGGGGAAGGCGGAGTTCGGGCTAGTTATTGGAATGAGGGGAGCTCGGTCAGAGGTGGAGGGAGCGGTGAGCCGGTGGTCGGAGGTCGCGCTGAGGCGTTCGTGGATGACGTGGCGGGGCTGAACGTGGAATGAGGAACGGAGAGCGAACTCAGGCGGCGGTGGGTTGCTGGAGGGTGTTGCGGCGGCTGTTAGGGTCGAAGTTTGGTAGGACGGCGCGGCTGGAGATCGTCGGCGGGCACCAGGATTTGGCGAGGTGGTGAGGGCGTGCGTCGAGCTTCGGAGAAGGGTCGGGTGGATTCGCGCTTGGAGCGACGGAGTAAGGGTCTGGGGTGTAGGTAGTGTGAAAAACGAGGTAGGAGAGGAGAAAATGGAGATGACGAGAGAGCAGATTATTTAATGAAGGAGTTGGGGATGATGTGGGTGTACGTGGGGTAGTTGTTTTGGGCAGTGGGATGTGGGTACGTAGTGTGGGGTGATTGGTTGTTGAGGAAACATGGGGGTATTATTTTCAGGGGAGTGTAGAGAGAGGGGGCAATATACTATTTAATATTATTATTATTTAAAATGAAAATGCATCATAAAATTATTAAATTTTATAAATATTCAATTAAAAAGTCATTTAATTTGTATTTAGCCAAATAAATATAAAACCTGATTTTTAAATCATTAAAAAGTCTAGAAGATCAATTAAAATATAAATATTCTCTTTAATAATAAAATGTAATATTTAAATACCAGGAAAATTATTTAAATCAGTATCGAAATTTTATGGTCATTACAGAATATAACCAATCGCTTTCTATGTTGTTTCTCCCATTATTTATGAGTCATCTTTTCTGGCTTGGCTTCATCTAATAGGGTCATGCAAATCTTTACAATACGGAATATCTTCCATCTTGGACTTCCATACTTACAAGTTGAAACCATCTAATTTTATCATTGTGCCGAAATTCTCCATCTTTTCCATTTCAAGGTATGCCTCGAATCAGGGCTTTGATACCACTTATTAAGGATTTTATGGAGATTAATCTGCGGAATTAAACACTAAATGAATAACCGCATCAATGAAAATACCACAAGCAAGCAAACACCAAAATTTAACATGGTTCGGCAAATCGTGCCTACGTCCACGGGGCAATCCGGAGAGAAATATTTTACTATAAATCAAGATTGCTATTCCTCTAAGTTACACCTAAACTTGAGGATTAAATCACAAGAGAAAAATACAGTGTTACCTCTAGGGTACCAAAACCCTAAAACTCGTCATACTGAAAAAATCTCTAACACTCGTGGAGAAACCAACACTGTACCCTCGACGACGTCGTCGTTTTGAAGACAACGGTTTTTGAATCACTGCAATCGGACAATCGAGCTATTCGGAATCTGAACTTTTTCCTCTCTCTTTTTCTCTCTTTCTCATATTTTCTTCTCTCGGAT